AGCAGACTTGGCCCCTTCTCCTCCCTGTGCATTACCTGTCGTCCCCCCACCCAGCAGGCAACGAGGCTCACCTGGCCCTCCAGCTGTGACACATGAGCTTGGATGTGGAGCAGTGCTAATAAGCAGCTTGATGCACACTGGAGATGTGACTCAGCTGCATTAACCTGACGGGACACAGGGATGCTGTCAGGCAGGTAAAGCACCAGACAGACCATTTCCTCCTCGCCCTGGAACAACAATCCATCCCTAGCCCACTGCAGCCCTTCCTCTATCCTTCTCCTGCCCAACCCCACTGCTGGTGGGTCCTTTCTCCCCAGAAGCAGCCCCTACTCCAGACACAAGGATACTGGGCTTTGTTGTAGGGGGACAGATTCAAGGAGAAGAGTGTGATTCCTCTGGGAGACAGTGTGTATCCTGCCACCTGGGCAGGGTGAGGAGATTCATCTAGATGAGAAATGTAGGATTCCAAGACCAAGCAAGAGCTGCCGCTGCAGTCAAAGCTCTAATTACCTTTCAGTTGTTCAGAAACAACTTCACAGCTCATCTCTGATCCCCACTGCTGACTTGAATGGAGTGAGACTAGGGGCAGTATTGGCCTGCCTCAGCCCCAGCCCTTAGGACTCTCAGGCTCTCTCCTGAAATTTGGGCTCACCTGTAGAAATTCCAGTTCCTCCTCCAGTCTGTTGAAGAGATCATCCTCTAGCACAGACCTGTGACACAAGCCTGGGCATTAGCAGCACCCCACGTGAGATTGTCGAATGTACCTTGGGGACAGCCAGGCCAGGCAGGGGGAGGTGCAGGTGACCAGACAGGAACAGTGCAGCAGCCACATCGTACAACACAGAAAAATGAAGCGAAAATAGCACTGGGATAAAAGCAGTGTTGGGGAATTGCTCTGTTTAACAAGTAACTGTTACAAGAGAGATTTACAGAAGATGTACAGGGCTGAGGAGCACCCAGCTCTTGCTGGAAAGCTTCAGGCTCTGGGGTCCCAGTTCCCAAAGGCATCACAGATAATTCACTTTCCCATGCAATGGCTATTGGGTCAGAGAATGAGGTGGAGAAGTCAAGGACAGGCAGATCAGAAGAACTTGGAGGCTACAGAGAGATCCCCAAGAGTGATAAGATGTGTCTGAAAGGCACTCACTTCTCACTGGCCTGTGAGCAGGTGTCCCGGGCTCTCAAATTGCTACCATCAGTCGGCTGAAAAGCTCTAGCACATTTAACAGTATATTCATCTGGAAACCAGACATGGATTAGGACAATGGACATAGACATATTCCTGACTCTGTCTCTCCAAAGGGGAATCTGCTGTGTCTCCATGGGCCACTGCTGAGCTCAGTGCACCCCATGTCCCTGCCATGCCACAAAATGGGGATGGCATGATCCTGCAGATTGAAAACCTGCTTTAAGGATGGCTGGTCATAGCCTGAGCAGCATTCCCATGGCCAAGGGTGAAGCTGTGGCTCCTGCCTTTTGCTGGGTTCTTTTTGAAGGGCAGGGGGACCCTCTCTGCCTATGACTGTCCAAACTATACAACCACATGATACGCACCCGGGGCTCTGACCTTTTGGGAAGGATCTGGCTTTGCAGACTGCAACAGTTCTGCTGAGGCTTCTTTCATGGTGCTGAGCTGAGGGACTGGCTGACTGCATGGGTACAGAGACACAAGTAATGCTCAGCAGTGTCACAGCTCAGGGAGAGGTGCACAGGCATTTGCCTGATTGCCATTTTTGTCAGTTTAAGTCTTTGCTGTCCCCTGAGATCAAATAGGCAAGAGCCTGATGATTCTTCAGAGCTGCCTTCCCTCTCAGATACAGAGGTCCCATAGCAAAGGGATCACTGATAGGTACCCACTCTCCCCATTCCCCCCTCTCCTCACACACACAGCTGCTTTCTGCAGGACACCTCTCCATGGGAGAGGTGAGAGAGAGACAAATGAGACCTTACCTGGAGCTCTGTGCCTTGTCCTGTGGGGTAGTTGTCTGTTGTGGTGCTCTTGTGGAGGCATCCACCTGGCTTCAAGCACAAACCATCCAATGGGAGACAGCCAAGGAGAGGATGAAAGATGAGACCCTTGCCCCTGACACCCATTCCTGCCTCACAGCTGACAGCCTGTCCCAGTTGGCTGTGGCAGGATTCAGCTTTTGATTTCAGAAGGAGCACAGGCACCTCAAAACCTCCATCACTGGTGTTCCTTCTTGCTGCATCCATCTCCTGCCTCTGGCAGAAGCAGCCCCAGCTAATACACCTCTGCCCATGACACATGGAAGTTTGTCTGCAATTCACTTCTGAGTCCCATCTGGGTGGCACAAGTCTGAACCTGATTCCAACTGAACTCAGTACAGGAGGTCCTTTGCTTGCAACTAGCAGGAATGAAGGGAAATGGAGGTAGGAGTGAGGAGGATGGGGGAGCTTTTTGGGGTGTGCTGATCCAGGACAGCTCCATGGGATCTGGGGCCACGTGTGCAATCTTGACCACAGATGGAAAGAGCCCAGAGCTGGGATGAGGCAGTGGGCTGGGTCAGTAGTAGAAAGCCCCATGTTATTACCCTCATCTGAGAGAGGACAGTGCTTAGAATTAATTTCCTAAATCTAAGACAAAGATTTCTGAGAAGTCCTGCTGGAGCAGCTACATGAGGAGCAGATGGGAGACCTGCAGCCATTGACCGTGCCTTTACCTGGCAGGAGTGTGGACGTCCAGCTCTTCACCCGGAGCGTCCAAGGCTTTCACCTGGGCTTGAGATTTCTTGAGAGCCAAGGCAGCACTCAGCCAGTCCTCCTCCTCCTTCAGTGGGTCAGCTTTAGCTCCTGCCTTCTCTGTGGCCAGGAGCTGGCTGGCAGGGACAGGCTGGCTGCCTGCAGCAGGGCTGGTCTTTGCTGGAGGCTGTGGCTCCAAATCTATAAACTTCTCATCTTTTGAGTTCTGCCAGTCACAGCTAGTCCTTTTGGCCTCCCTGACAAGGCTGTGACTGGCTGGTGGAGGAGATGTGGAGTGAGCCTCCTCTTTCAGTTTGACACTGTTCTGGGATGCACGTCGGCTGCAAAGAGAGGCAGTCACATACCTGCCTGCAAGGGGACCCTGCATGTGAGGGGACACTGGGAACCCTGCCCACCCCACTGCAAGGGCAGAATGGCTGGTAACTGGAGCTACAGACACACACAGAGCACAATACCTCACAAGTTGTGTATTTGTCGTCTGGTCTTTGAACTCAGAATGCTCATGCTCTCCAAAGACACATTTTTTCTTGTCTTGATCCTCTTCCTTCTCTGTTCAGACAACGAGCCTTGAGTAAGTACCCAGAGGAGCAGCTGTCTGCAAAGACACCGGCCCTCCTCCTCTTCCTCCTTCCCTGCAGTTCCTCCTGGGATTGCTGTCTCTGGGAAACACAACTGGAAAAATCTTCACTGGAAAATCTAAGTGTGGATGGGAACACCTTCTTCGTTTGGAATCAGCCTACATCCAAATGCAACTGAGTCATGGTTACAGTGCAAATGTTACCAGGTTGCCTCTAGGGCAGAGTATGACACTTTTGCATCAGCCACCTTCCCTTCTCACTACTACAGAAATGGTAATTCCTCTACAAGGGCATTAGAAACCAACCTCACTCTCCAAGATAATGCTGTCATGTCTGACGACCTTCCCAGTGTCCCTGGCTGGGCTCACCCAGCTGCTTTTTGTTCTTCTTATCCAGCTGCTTTTTGTTCTTCTTATCCAGTTCTAACTCCCTGTGCTCTCTCTTGCTTGTATCTTCCAGGAAGAGTATAAGGATACTGCTCTTGCAGCTACCAAGCTCGCAAAGCACGGGTAGGAAAGCTCCCAATCTCAATAAGCCTTACTCTTTTGAAACCCCCCAAGAAGGCTGCTCTCCAGCCTCATCAGCATAATGCCCTCCTTGCCGGGCTAAAGAGAACTCCCAGGACTTAAGCCAGTATTAGAAGAATAAAACATTTAGCTTCACTTAGCCAGCAATGAGACATCTTTATCAAGTGAGCCTGCTGCTTCCTATTCAGTTAGTCCCTGGCCACAAGCAGCCCTTGATCTGTGAGCTCTCATCCTGCAGTGTCTCAGAGTCCTGGGCAACCCCAAAAGCACTGTTTCAGTATCACGGCTGCAAGAGGCCTCCAACCAAGCAGTTAGGGAGGAGAACAGAAATAAAAGCGTAAATTATCCCCTAGATTTGGGAATGACTCCAAGAGAGGAATATAGGGCCTCAGTAAGCAAATTGCCTTGATGGGAGAGGCAGGTGAGCATCTCTGGTTCAGGAAAGATGCAATGCACTCAACTGCAGCTTTCAGATGAGGATTCTGGAACATTGAAGCAGCCAGGGATGCTACCTGTGCCCAGTGTGCCCCATCCTCTGTCCCATGCATTTCCAGGAGATAAGGCACTTACATACATGAATGCACCAGAGCGTACATACCTCCAAAACTCTTCTTGCTATTTTCAGCCTGTGGAGAAAGACAGGTTCCCTCATTAGAACATAAAGCAGGTCTGACCCACACCTTCCCAAAACACACTAAGGCCAGAGGTATCCCATAAACAACAGTACAGCCCTCCTCGTGCTCTCTGGGAATTGGCATGTGAAATGCAGAGAAACCACAGGGATATTTCCAACTTTAGAAACAGCAGTGAGCATAGCCCCTCTGAGCACCGGCCTTGCAGAGCCTCCAGCCCCTGGGATCCCTCCTACCTTCCAACAGAGGAGACAGCGCATCTGTTTGTTTTGGAGATGACATTCTTGCCTTCAGGCTGTATAACACTCACCATGGCAGTCTGTCCCAGCCTTCCCGTGACCCAGCAACTCGGTTTATGGCTTGTTCCGATGACCAGTGGGGCGAGATGGAGCCCTCGGGATCAGGATGGAGCCCGCCGGTCCCACGGCGCGGAGCTCCCGCTGTCTCCGCCGCAGCGGTGCCGCACGCGGTTCCTCGGTGTGTTCTCGGAGTTCCAGGTTGCCATGGCGATGACGCTGCCGCTCCCAGAGGATCATCAGAGACGTCTCCACAGCCCCAGCGCCACAGGCTCTTCCCTAGCCCCGGGACCACCCTCCCTCCCCGGGCTGAGGGAAGTATCCCCAACCCTTCTTCGTGCAGTGAACCACGGTCTGGCACTCATACGTGGTACCCCTTGGTGTGTACGGTGAGCCTCCCTGTAGCCCATGACCTCACATTGCGAAGGCACCCACAGACAAAGGGCACATCTGGGAAGCAGGAGCTGATAGGAGAGGATGGGGACATCACTGAGCCAGAGACTGGTTTCTCCCACACAGTGATGGGATGGGAGAGGGACTACCCCAGGGGGCTGAGGATGTTATCCATGAATATGAGACAAGCTGTAAGGAGACACCTGTCCACCTGTCCTTGCTTCTGCTCTCACTCCTCTGTTGCCCATGAAGCTACTGTCCCAGCCCAGTGGCTCTGCTCTCCCTGGAGCTGGTAGAGAAAATAGGACTACTTGGGCTCTAGTGGTATTTGTATTACTTCATGAACACCTAGCAAATATAAAATAAATGGTAGCACTATTAAACTTTTATGCAGAAGGCAAAACTCTTTACCCCTCCCTGAAGAAACATTTGCAACTTTTTCTTTTTGCCAACATTTTAACTTTAGCTGGCCTGGTTGGAAAGCGAAAAACAGCTGTTGCAGCAACATTTGAATAGGTTTTGTGGGGTATACTTGGGCAATTTCTCACAACTGGAAAAGAAAAATCTTCATCTCTGAACATGCTTTCTCTGAAAGAGTATTCCTGAGGTCTCATTGATAACAATGTTTGCAAATGCTAACATAACTAATTTCTATATCAGTGTTTTTCCATATTTTTTTTTTTCCGCTACCACTGTTGGATTTTTTTTAATGTTTGGGCAAATCACAAGTTCTAAACAAATTATGACAACTATGAAGTAAAGGGACGGTGACTCTTTAGTTAAGCCTGCCAAAACTAAGAAACCCCTTGTGTCTTCATATCTTTTTCTCTTTTACATTTTTTACCTTCAGTCTTGTTCATTGCTTTGATCAAATGACAAGTCATGTTCATTTAATGGCAATTCCCTTTCATTTCAGAAACAGTGAGGAAACAATTTCTGGTCTTACTGGAGGACCTGGAAGTTCTAGATTTTCTAGGTAATTTTTATCACAAATTCTTTTATCTACATAATCATTTGGAATCCATCAGAGAAATTTCATTCTTACAAAAGACAGCACAGCAGAGTGGAACAATAAACTTAAATGCTGCCACTCTAAAAAAGGTTTTAAAATATTAGTCTAATTGCTTTCAAAAGTGTAAATTAAGCCCTAATAGTCAGAGCAATAGAGATCAATATTCCCAGTGGAATTACAACAGGAATTACACTGCCTGTTGGTCTGAACTACTAATGAACTCTTCTGCAGGTTTCCTCAGGGTTGCACTGCTCAGTGTGGAACACTTGCAGTGAAATGGCGATGACTACTGAATGTGTGCTGAGTGCAGTATACACCAAGTACTCTACACATCTATATGCAGTCAGAGACCAGTGAATCTTGCCAGAATGTACAGTGTTAGAAGGAATGCTAAAAGCACATTCCTAACTCAGAAGAACATGCATGAAAAAGTGTGAATTCAGAAGAACCCGAGGAGTTAATGAAAATGAAGATGGAGGAGTCTGGTTTTTAAGACTGCACATAGCAGGGAAGAAGATGAATAACTAGAGCTGATAAACCTTTAAGGTTAATGCAGTTTGTTTTTACTTTGTTTGAGGCTAGAACTGAGATATAGGAACTTAAGCTAAAAAAGCATGCTGTTACATGGCACATCTAAGACACACTGGTGGAGGCTGTTCCTCAACAGCCAGGTTCTCACCACACCGAGTGATGTCTCTGACTTTACACCTGGAGGCAGTGCTGAATGGCTTCCCTGCGGGCAGGACCCACCCCTGGAGCCTGCCAGGTGGTGTTGGAGGCCATGGGAAGGGGCTCCACAATAGTACCTTGGCCAATCTCATCCTGGTGCAGTCTATCTGCCGGGATTGCTCCCTCTTCTGCTCCAACCACTCCTCCCTCAGCTTTTCTTGTGTGTGGAATTCTGCCCACTCAGCCTCCAGCTTCCCTTGCTCCTCTGAGCGCTTCTACAACATCGTCTCCTGCTCTTCCAGCAAAATGTTCTGGAGAGCATGGCAAGAGAGGCAGAGAGAAAGCCCTAAGTCCCATGTGCCAGGGGATTTTTCTGTGTGCTATAAGGGTTGCAATTCCCCATGTGAGCAGGTGTGGAATGAAGAAAACAGAGGTCACACGAAGGAGGCTGCAGCACCCAGCACCCAGCTCTTTCTGTCATCACACGCTGCAGTGCAGTGCTGCACAGACTGACAGCACATGTGGAAAGTACCTGGCCATGTGCACCTGCCCTTACCCTCACTCACTCCAGCTCTTCTCACTCCATGGAGAACTGCTGCTTCATGAATTGTTGCTGCTTCTCCAGTGAGTGCAGAGAAACAGAATTCACAGAAAAACTGCACATACTTGTGCTCACCACTTCTGCATATCCACAGGACTCTGTTTCTTCAAGGGCAGATGTTGGGTGGCCAAGGCAAGCAAGGCTTTGCCAGCCTCAACTGGACTAAGTTCCAATGAACTCATTAGCAGAGGTGAGGGTCTACACTGTGACTGTGCTTGTCTATTATTCCAGAGGTGGAACCTATACGTCCCACTGGAACGAATGTCACTTTAATGAAACGTACTTTTGAGTTGCTCGTCCTGCTCCTGGGACATGAGATGCTTCTGTGCCACTAGGGCTTTGTCCTGGTTTTATGACAGGAGCTAAGCTGCTGGCTGCTTCTTCTCATGCCACAGCCTAGGCCCCTTCTGCCACATCTGTTGACACTAGTTCTCCCTTCTCATTTATGGGGTAGGTATGCTCTCCTTGGCCTTTCTTTTCTGACCTATGCCCTAATAGAATCTCTTATTGTTTTTCACATCCCTGGCCAAGTCCTGTTACATCTGTGACTTAAAATTTTAAAAAATATATTTACAGGAAGGACTCTTATCAGAACTCTTCACAGTTTCAAAATCTTTAAAGAGATTAGGTGTAATTCAAGGAAGAAGATTCAGTTGCAGCTCAAATCCCTTTCAATACAGATGCAGTACTGCCTGTTAGTTACTCTCTTCTACAGTTTACTCAACTGTGCCTTGCCTGCATCAGGTAATTGAAGGTTAACAGCACAGATTATTTAACCAAGTGTCCTGCACCACATGTCTTTCAAAGATATAAGAAAGGCTATTTGATGTTGTAGCAATGACATTTGATTAGACTTTCCCACTTCAAAGTTTTGACAGCACTCAAATAGGAAGCAATAACATTATGTTCTCTGTTTCTTTAAATTCTGTTGAACAACAGTTGAGATTTTGCAGATTTATACCAAACAATGAATACAATAAGTCCACTTTGTTAAATGCCAGGTAAAATTGAGGCTTGGTGAATAATACCTTCTTATTGTTCATAATTGCTACCATTAGAGATGGCATCTGCTTTTTTTTGTTTGTTTTGTTTTTTGACCCCCTCATGGGTCAGTATGCTTAATCACAAGTCAATCTGAATACAGAAACACTACAGACCTCCAGGAATTGAAGTCTGGTCTTTGTGTGTTTCTTCCAACTCAGGATAGTCTATGATTCTATGATTTCTTAGTTAATAAGCCTTACTGGCAGTGGTGGAGGCCAAACACAAATATCTACTTCCAGGTTCAGAAGGGGGTTAAATTTTCTTTCACAGTTCAGCATTTACTATCAAAATTTTTCTTGTGTTTTAACTTCACTGCTCACTATTTTTTATTACTAGTGCCCAGGTAAAGCAAGATGATAATTTAATAGTATTACATGGCTTCTAGACTCAGTGTAGTAATTTAACATCACTTCTTGTCATGAGAATTCGCCGCACTTATGTGCAAGAGTCTCTGGTCTTCACTGACTAGTTGATATGCACTAAAGAATCATCTGCATGACAATGAACTATTATACAAGGACATCCTAGTATCACTGGCAACAACGCAGGGAAGACAGTGTTTAGCTAGTATATTTGTATTTCAGGGATACCTAGAGTCAGTATATGTGTTGTAATGACAATAAACACTCTAATTCTGCTGCTAACTCTCAAGCATGTTAAGTGACATTTATTAGCGTGTAACATTTTTAAATTGGCACACTTATTTATACCAGTTTTATGTTAAGTTTTGGAAGACTGTGAAAATTCTTGAATAGTAGTAGAAAGTTAATGCTATGTCAATATCTAGAAAGGGTAAATTAAACTGGGTAATAGATATGGTTAATTATAGGCCTGTCAGCCTGCTATCGATCCTGAAGAAAATAATGGAGCAGCCACTACAGGGTTTGATTAAAAAAGAATTAAGAGGAGTTAATATAATTAATGTCATTAATTGACATTATGCACTTATGAAAACTAAGTCTAATCACTCCAACTTAGTATCCCCTTTGAATATAACTGTAAATTTGTGGGATGCACTTGATCTCTGACTTTGAATCTTTCCATTCTGATGCAGTGAGTGGAACAATACAAAATCGCCTTGGTGTATATTATATGGAATAAAGTCTGGTTAGCCATGTATCTTGAAGGACTTGGTAGAATTTGCTTCTTGGTCCATCACTAATAAAAAAGCATTAATAAATTTTTTACTGGCAAATATTGTACATAGTAAATACTGGTTCATTAAATCATAAATAATGATGATTGCTCGCATAAAGTCACTCGTAAACTGACTTACAATATAATAGGTGTAAAGAGAATTATTCAAGCAGAAAAATGTAGGATATTCTGGCAGTCTGAAGAATTATAGATGGTTTAGATTAGAAGGGACCTTAAAACTCATCTAACATGGGCAGAGACACCTTTCACTAGAACAGATGCCTCAAAACCCCATCCAACCTGGACTTGAATAGTTTCAAGGATGGGGCATCTGCAGCTTCTCTGGGCAACTTATTACAGTGTCTCATCACACTCACAGTAATTAATTTCTTCCAAATATCTAGGCCCCATCAAGTACTGGGAGACTGCTTATAAGCTCTCCCTAGAGCCTTCTCTTTTCCAAGCTGAACAACTCCAACTCTCTTAGCCTTTCCTCATCGAAGAGGTGCTCCATCCCTTGGACAGTGTTTGTGATCTGCTAGACCCACTCAAGCCAGTCAAAATCCTTCTTGTGCTGAGGACACCAGAGCTCAATGCAGTACCCCAAGTAGGGTCTCATGAGGGCAAAATAGAGGGGCAGAATCACCTTCCTCAACTTGCTGGCCACGCTGCTTTTGATGAAGCCCAGGATGTGTTTGTTATGCATGGCTGCAAGCACACATTTCTTGCTCATGTCCAGCCTTTCAAAAACCAACTCTCCCAAGTCTTTCTCCTCTTACAGTGCTACTGTCGTAATTCTGACCAAAAAAACCCCCAAAACCATAGTTATTAAAGTAAAATACATAGTAAATATGTTTATCGCTCACTTTGACTGTGAGTGAAAAAATGAATGAACACATAAATAAAACTTTTTCAATGGAGAAATATTCTAATTGGAGTAGAATTTTTATTACCCCTGACTCATACATATATCTAAGCCTGACAAGGATATGACTGGAATACTGAGTCCAGTTATGGTGTCTGTACTTCATCCCACCCCCCCCGAAATAATATTAAAAATCTCAAGTTCAAAGAAAAGTTGAAGGTGTTATTCAAGAGTGCAAATTATCACATTCTGGTAGTCTTCCCAAATTGCTTGTTTGTAGTATCCCTTTCACATTTTTATAAGTAATTGTCAGTATGGACTTCCATGTAGATTTGCACATTTCCTCTGTGTTTCTTTCCTAACCCTAGTTCCTACCCTCTAACTTGTGACCAGCAACATCTCCTTTTCCGCTTTTGTCATGCACATAACAGATTTGAAAGGAACACCCTCTGTTTAGCTAATCAAGGAAGAGGCTAATAGTGACACAATCACAGGCTATAGGTGCCTACTGAGATATTAAATAAATATTAATATCTGTATTAAATATAAATTAAGTGTTAAATATGATTCCAGATTAGTTTGTTGGAGTACTGTACTTCATTGCCTTATTTGGTATTTCCTAAGTGGAAAATTCTCTAGATAGCTGGCTTTGTTTGGTTTATGTATCAAATTGGTTTTACTGTTTTAGTCATTAATTTCAAGATGAAAATAAGTGTTTAATTATGGAACATGTGATTCTCATGAACATAGAAAATTATTATTTATCTCTCTTTATCCTAAAGTTACACAAATAACTGTAGTGCAATTTTTCTGTTTATCAAACATGTAATTAAATCTTTACAGACTATTCATGCACATATCTATAATATATTCATAACAAAATCAAAACAAAACTACAGTTAATGAACGTTCACACCATAATCATTCTATTTGCCTTATTTAATATACACTTAAAATTAATGAATTTGTAATTGGTTATTCTTCAAACAGATTAACTTCTGCCTCTATACTCCTTCTACTATGCAACCTTCAGAATGAAGCTTCACAGTTGTGCTGAAAAATCTGGCAGTTTAGTGTCATTTACTTTCACAGAGGTAAAAAAGACCATATTAACCCTCCCTGTATCTGGCTACCACTTATGCTATATTTGCCATTAGTTTATGTTGTTCTTGTAAAAGTAACACTTTTCAGACTGATTTGGAGATTCTGAAGGGGATAACAGCTCTGAGCTCATTCTGCCTCACAGAGAAGCCAGATATGGATGCAACATGCACACTAAGTTTGTCAAGTGTACTTTCAAAAATTACTTTTTTTATTGGGAATCCTATTTATGTGTCTCTATACTGACACTACAGACTTCAGCCCAGTACTGAGCCATATTCTCAGACAACATAAAAGATAACGTGCTTTTGCTGAAGTTGTAATGATGCTAGTAAGTATGCTGACCTGGTGAATCTATATGTAAATATGCAATTATCTGTTTCTTTCCTCAAACATGATAAGCTCAGCACAGGATTTTCTTGCTTAGCAAAGGAAAACTGAAGTGTCAAATCACCTGCATCGTGCTGTCTGCTCATGTGTAGATTCATAAGAATCTACACATGCACATTAATGTGCAGCTGTAGCATTCTGAATATATTGTTATAGATATACATGTATAGATATACATGTATAAATATACATGCAATTATTTTTATAATTCCTGGCAAATCAACCTTTCCTTGTGTTAAAGGGAATTGCAATTTAGTTAAAATATAGTATTAAGGTACTTTTGTATATTAACAAGATATAGGAGAGAATTCCAATAAAATCTTAACAGTTCTGTTTCCAAGAAACTCTAGAATACATTATAAAATTACTGTAATAAAACATAAGAAAGAGAATACAGCTTTATCCATAAGTTACATTTCAGATACATTTATTATACAGTCATCTAAGGCAGGGGTAGATGTGTTTTGAAGTGATCAATGAGAACTCTTAATGTCTTATATATTCTGATCTGTAATTATGAGCAATTGCACTTACTTCTGGTACTGTTCAAGACAAGCTTTGTAAGGTTTGCCAGGCTTTATTTCTCTTTCTTAGACAAATAATCTTAGGAGCCAAAATAAATGTAATACTAAGTTTCAGAGCAATGGCAAGCTGATCGAAAGCCATGACCACATCACAATAGCATACTTTCATTTTTTTTTTCTTTCCTCCCTGATGTTTTTATACTGGATTATAAAACCAAACCCAAGATGGACTTTATTGATTTACATTCTCATATCTGCTAAAATAACTGAAGAATTGCATAGTTTGCCTATCAGCACAACAGTCAACACGTCATTTTAAAAAAGAGCAGTAAATCCTTCAGTAGTAGTTGGATTCAAGTCATACCCACCCCACAGCAGAATACAGCAGAAATATCAGTCTGAGAGTAGTGTTGAATATTTTGTTGCTTTGCCTCCAAAAGGAAAAAAAAATTAGAAAACTTCTATTCTATCTTGTCATTCTCTAAAAGTTTGTAGTTTATGCAATAAGGCCTGCTACAGTTGTGAAAGCTAAACACAACTGTTCCTCCTGATATAATTTTAATTTTCTTCAAGTGGCTGATAGCATAGTTCCCGACTGCCAGCATTTACTCCCTCACCTATCATTCAGGCCATGCTACTGCTCTTCTTTAATCCCTTTCCCCTCAGATGCAACGAATCCCAAGGTGCACCTGTCTGATCTGACAGGGATCAGTGTAATCACTTTAAGGTGCTTCCAGTCACTGATTCCATATTGACATGACCAAGGGTTGTGCTACACAGGTATTTCACCTCTTGAAAAAGACCTAATCCTTAAGAATTACTACCATTTCCTCTTCTATATTACATTTAAGTCAGAGCACCTGAGAAATTATTGAGGTGAGATTAACTATGGCCAGCAACCATAGCATAAGAAATGCTTAGCACGGCAAAGAACTTTGCCTTATTCATTAACATCAGTGCTTCTACCCAGCAAGAGGCTTTTCAACAGAAAGCATAAAGATTCATTTGTTTGTTTGCACAGCATTAGTTTCAAAATATACATCTGTAGCATGTAGTTAACACACTAGGTAAACTGTATACATACATTATAATGCATTAGGTTTTGTAATGTTGTTACTTATTTTTACCCTCCATCCTCGTGTAATTAATAAAAAGCCTACAGCCAACAAAAATAAAACAGTATGTAGCTATGACATTTCCAGCATAATCTGTACAAATTTTTTCATTACCTAGTACAATGGTAGTAAATACGACTGATAGAATCCAAACTGTCAACCTTTCAAAGGAACCATCTGGTTTTCAACATCCCCCTTTAAGCTTTTTTTAAGGTAGTCTTGTTGTGATCTCCCCAATTAAATAGACAAGTGTAGTTCCAATACATAAGATAAAATACTGATGTTATCCAGACCTTTCCCTGTAAAAATGTATTAGTTTTTCAAAGACAAGGGTATCAAAATGCCCAAATCCATTTTAAACAGGCCTTTCCATGCAAAAAGTCTACAAATGGCTCTTGGACACTTTCACTGTGTTACAGCTAAGCAAAGCACTGTCATAGTGAGGAAAACTAAGACCAAGCTACTCTTCCTTGTAACAGTTTGTCTAGTGGAGATCTCTGAAGTGATCTGGGAATCTCAATCATGGGCTAGTGAAAATTAATTTCAAGCAGAAAAAATTAAATTAATGGCTGGAGAATCCTCAGGTTGTATAAACTCCAGATCTTCACTGACTTTTGATCCTGCACATTCAAAGATGTCTCTTTGTTCACACTGTTCAATTCTAATTAAATTGAAAAACTGACATTTTCAGAAGTAAATAAATATGCTTAATAAGTCCTGATTATGATTGCAGGTATAGCAGTAGCAGAACCCAAATTCTTACCAGTATGCTAAACTATTTTTGAAGGAAGAGGGGTGTTTTTGATTTTAGCAATTACCAACTTTTTATGGGTCTTTGTTCTTTATCCATTCTTCTTTCTGGCTCCTTTCAGAGTATGACTTTGTTATCACACATATCACAATATAAATACCTTTGTAGATGTTATCTGATTACAATTTTAAACACTGATATGACCTTTGTTCCACATCTGTGGAGAATGAATTCTGCTGTGTATATATGCAGCTTGTTTCACTTCTCTTGCTGGTTTCTCATGGAAATTTTCCTAATTTTCCTTCTCATATTCTTACGCATAAATGCCTCAGAAACAGCAATCGTCCTACTGAGCAATGAGGACATTCTGGAGTGCACCTGTCTCATTTCTACATTCCTTTGGCTTCATCTTTGATGCTGAACTCACCTCCTGTTTATACAGCTCTTATAACTTCAGTTCCTTCTTTAACTACAGTGGTATCTTCACATAACTGTCCTTCTAAAACACTTTACAATGAAATCCACATCTTCTAATGTTCTATTGTTACTTTATTGTCTTTGCAATATTCAGTCATGTTCAGGAGGTCAAGCCTCAGCATATATAACAGATGAAGGCCTTATGACATCCAATCTCAAGTAAATCTGCCAAATCTAAAGTTTTCCCCCTAAGTATCCACACACCATAGTCCTTATTTCCCTTTCTGATTCGTTTATACTCATCATTATCCTCTGGTTCCTACAGTGTCCATTCCTTTAAATAAATAAAAAAATAAACAAATTGATTACTGATATTAGGCCTTTAGTCCAACTGCTGTTGCCCTTTGAAACAGTCATTTTATCAGAGATGTTTCAGCGTAAAATGCCATAAGTCATCAGATATATAATGCTTTTATGTCTGTTACCAATTTAGTAAGCTTTACAGTTGAAAAGTTATGGAAAGAGTTTATCCAATCAGAAGCTCTTAGAAATATGCACACATTCTTTTATTTAAAGTCTGAGGTAATTTTATGTCAGTCAGTGAAATAGTGAATAGCTGTTCACCTCCGCTCAATCTGTTAGCCAGAACATGATAGGCAAATAGAAGGAGGATAATTAAACAGAAACATCAAAGGCACTCCAGGGTACAGAGGGAGTGGTACAAAGTTAAAAAAAATTAACAGCGTAATAGCTCATATGACAACGTAGCTTTGTGTGGCCTTTACATAGACACTACTATTGTGTTGCAGAAAAACTACTAAAAAATTGAATTAAAGATTTTCAGATACAAAAAGGTAGAGGAAACTTGGAGGATAAAAGGCATGAGACAAGAGAGGATGTGGCTGGAACATGTGGTATGTGATGTATGGGATCAAGGAAGGGACAGGGAGAGAGAGATTATTCAAACAAAGCCTGACTCCTGACAATGAGCAGAACAAATACACGTGACAGGGAAGGGCAGAAGAGAGAGATCAAGATTAAGAAGAATCAGATAGCTGCAGATTCAACAAAAGAAGTGTAGTGTGCATGACCAGGAAAGGTTGTAACAAATAATAGAAAGCATGGATCCAAATAAATGGATTTGTTCATGCTCATTCCAATCTTCCAGTTCAGACTTGAATAAGGAGTTGAGGGACTGATTTATTCTGTTTTTCTAAATTGCAACCTTCTCTTTTATCTAGTAGAGGTAATAGATATCTGTTGAATACCTATAAAGGTGAAAATGTGTTTGACTTTTCAGTTCTGTTCTATATAATCAAAACATTTCCCTAAGTATTTACAAATTTTGTCATTCCCAAGGCACATTTCTTTCATTGCTTCATTTTACTGTGTTCACTTTCAGCCTTTATTTCCATTTAACACTTTATGAGAAATAAGTTACTGCTTCAGAAAACAAATCCTACCTGAGATATAGTAATATAACTTTCATATTTTTTTCAGAACATTTTTAAATAGTGTTTTGAAATTGACTATTTTTAATAGTTAAAAATGAGGATAGAATAATGTCAGTAGGAATTCTGAACTCATTTACTTATCTTACATTTATAAGATATGTATTTTAGCTTAGCTGTTAACTGAAGAAATATAGTAATTCTAAATTACCAAAGATATTTTTCAGTAGCACATGTTTCAGCTCAGGCATATGCTCAGCCTAGTTAAATTTGTCCTCAGTAAAACTCTCTCAGCAAGCAAAAAACCCTGAAAAGAGCTCAAGATAACCACAGAAAATGAGGACTGTCTTTACTCATACAACACTTCCTTACGCAAATAAAATAAGACACAAATTTACCATTACAGAATAGACATGCTTTTGTCTATAGTTGTCTTGGTTTGTCTCAAGGGTTCTAGTGAGTTGTAATGAGTAATTTCACACACAGAACATACTTAATTGGTACTGCAGCTTTTTTTGCTATGTTCTATGTTTATAAAAATTTGTACAAAGACCTGTACTTTGGAAGACAATGAGAAACCTGAAAACAATTCTTTTTAGAGAAAGAGCATATTTTAAAACTTGTGTAGCATGCCATATCTCAGTTTCATAGTCAACTGCAAAACGGTACAGCAAATCAAATGACTCTAGCATCTATTGTCTTGATTTTCTAAACATCAGTTGGACCCAAAACCAGCCCAAACTCCAAACGCTACTAGCCATAAAATCAGAGCATACCACAGAACACTTCCTTTTTCAACACACAAAAAAAATATACATCTTTCAAAGACAGAAGGCTGTCTTTGGATTAAATCTTGAGTAATAAATTGTACTTGAGCACAGAAAACCTAGAAGAAATTCAGATTTCAAGTAGTGACCTATTGACCTCTTGCTGCTTCCTAGGTACAAGACGTTCAAGGGAAGACTACTGGGCATTAAATGGTAAGTTACATAAAAGTGAAACACAAGTCCAGTTGTATCTCTATATGCCTCTCTTTTGCATGAAAACAGAATCATAGCCCTATACATTCAGATAAAACCCTCTCTACACCTCTATAAAGAAAATTCTTTTTCACATTGGTGTAATGTAGAAGAAATTATTTTCATGAAAATAGAATTCTCATTAGAATAAAATTAGCATGAGTAAGTAGCAAACAGGACATATAACTGAAAACTACAAGAAGTCTTTAAGACTGAGAAATAATTTGTCCTAATTAACAAACTCACTTACTCAACTCTCTTAGGCATATATGGAAAAAAACCCCACATGTATTTTCATCTCGGAAGTGCACATCTACATAATCTATTAAATGACTTTCTGTTTCCAGATTTTCCTATAAAGCATTTTATCCCTGTCCAAATTTGTAGTGTCATTAAAATCTCAATTTTGGAAATTAAAAATTTGCAAAAATAGCCATATGACTGGATGCCTGAGCTGTGAATGGACAACAATTGTCAACACAAAATGTACGAGAGCCCAGATGTTCATTTAGTAAAAGCTAGGGATGTAACAGAAATTTTTAATTTCTGAATTGAACTGGAAGGGGTTGTCTTCAGATAGAAGAAACTGTGTGCTCCCCTTAAATCCTAGTCAAATTCCACAAAGAATGCATTTATTGTTACTTTCACACTAATGTACTAAAAGCAGAACTTGGCAAACTGTTACCACATCATTAAAAATAGCATAAATTCTCATGGTTTGTCCTTTAAGGAATTTAGGAATAACATTAATTTCATTGAAAAAGTACCTATGTCAAATACTAAACTAATCTACCGAAGCTCTTCTTTGAATGTGCATTCACAGTACACACATATTTATAGATGAAGAGGTAGTAAACTAAACAGAGTTCTCAGCAGCAATGGCTGTGGATAATAAAAACAAATATGAATTCTCTGTTACGTAATAAGGAAAGTGGTTTGCATGGTGAACATTTCAGGAAGCACCTGAAATCCACCACCTTTTTCTCCTAGGTTCATTTTGAAAGTAGTGCAATTTCTTGTTGAACTACAAACAAAAATGAGTTTCTTTATCTTCAATTTTATTTTCTTTTTACCAATATCTATTTCTTGAGCTCTTTCAGTCCTCTGGGTAATAGGTTTTATCAGCATTTTGAATGAATAGTGAACTAGAATAATACACCTCATTGGCATGAAATCATTTTTATTTTATATGGAGTGAGCATGATTCCTATTCATTTCTGAATGTTAAAATACCCAGCATAATAGAGTAGCAATCTTCAGATGCATGCAGTATTCTTGCAAGGTAATTCATATGCCCTAGAGACATTTGATTCTGTAAATCAACATTTCCTTTATCTCAAACATTCAGACTGAACCAATTTTGGATCCTGTTTTCAGTTTATTTTGCTGTATTGCTAGTTCTTCTTTGGCATGACTGTTACATTAACACAAGCAGGAATCTTGCACTGCACAAGTAACTTCTTGTACACAAGAATTGATTACTGCAATTATTATATACACAGTGTCACAAAAGAGGTATTTTGTCTTCAGGTTTGGAAAGAAAAGTCCATAAGAAATAAATCTGACATTTTTAAATGCATTGTCACTTAGATGACATCTAAGAGGAATTTATAGTAGAATGTGTAATGGACTTGCAGAAGTCTCATTTTGGTACATTAAATACTCTAATCCTACCCTCAGTTTTAATTCTCTTGTAATATATAAGTTTCTGCATTTATGTCTATTGTTGAAAGGTAGGAAAATATTGTCTGTGTTGACAGTTCTACAAAGATTTGTGACCATTGAAAATATTTTAACTTGTGTTATGAAAGCTATAAAAAGACTCATAGGAAAGCAATATTGTAAATACATCATGAAATGGACATATTATTTATAAAACATAATTCACATTATAAAAGAATTAAAAAGAAGAAACAACACTGTGAAACTATTAGAATGAGTAGTATAGCTTGAAATCTAAAGCTATTGCTAATGAGACATGTAAATAAAATTTGACCAAAGGAATTCTGGGGTGCTAGAGGACCTTTAGAAACTGAAAGATTTGTTATTTCCTACTAAATACACCTTAAAATGACATCTACAGTTTTCTTCAACTGTATTTCACAGACTCATAGAGTCAGCCAGGTTGGAAAGGACCTCTGAGATCATCAAGTCCAACCCTTGATCCAACACCACCATGGTTATTAGACCATGGCACTAAATGCCACATCCAGTCTCATCTTAAAAACCTCCAGGGATGGAGAATCCACCACTTCCCTGGGCAGCCTGTTCCAATGCTTGATTACTTCTCTGTAAGGAATTTCTTCCTAATATCTAACCTAAACCTCCTCTGGTAGAGCTTAAGACCATACCCTCTTGTCTTGCCTGGAAGAAGAGACCAACCCCCACCTGGCTACAACCTCCTTTCAGGGAGTTGTAGAGAGTGATGAGGTCTCCCCTGAGCCTCCTCTTTTCCAGGCTGAACAACCCCAGCTCCCTCAGCCTCTCCTCACAGGACTTGTGCTCAAGTACCTTCATCAGGGACTTGAGCCTTGTTGCTCTTCTCTGGACCTGCTCCAGCACCTCAATATCCTTCCTGAACTGAGGGGACCAGAGCTGGACACAGCACTCCAGGTGTGGCCTCACCAGCACTGAGTACAGGGGAAGAATCACTTCCCTGATCCCGTTGGCCACACTGTTCCTGATCCAGGCCAGGATGCCCTTGGCCTTCTTGGCCACCTGGGCACACTGCTGGCTCATGTTCAGCTTCCTGTCAATCCAAACTCCCAGATCCCTTTCTGCCTGGCTGCTCTCCAGCCTCTCTGTGCCCAACCTGTAGCACTGCATGGGGTTGTTGTGGCCAAAGTGCAGGCCCCGGTACTTGGCCTTGTTGAGCCTCATCCTGTTGGAATCAGCCCAACTCTCCAACCTATCCAGGTCCCTCTGCAGAGCCCTCCTGCCTTCCAGCTGATCAACAATCCCCCCCAACTTGGTGTCATCTTCAAATTTGCTGATGGTGGACTTCATCTAAATCATCCATAAAGATATTAAGCAGAACTGGGCCCAACACTGATCCCTGGGGGACACCACTAGTGACCGGCCACCAACTGGATGCAGCACCGTTCACCACCACTCTCTGGGCCTGGCCATCCAGTTAGTTCCTAACCCAGCAGAAGCATTTTGTGTAAAAGCACATATGGTGAACATATAGGAGGGTAATGTTGCTGTGGTCTTATGTTTCAGCATGATTTGAGAGAGATTAACAATTGAAATAGTAGAAAATGAGGTTATTATTGGTCACATAATTAAGAATGAAAGCAAGACTTTGAGACAGAAAAACTGTAATCAGCAGAGACATTGGATCTATATGCTTTCAACACTGCCACCTTCAAAAATGTTATAAGGCATGGTAAATACTGCTTTTCAAAATAATAGATTAAAAATTTTGTTGAATGAGACACTGGATCTGCTAGTTGTAGACTGCAGCAAAACACTACTTCTTAGACATTTCTGGAATACTTATGTCTGTGCACAAAATCACTGAGATATAGAGAACTATATATTTTTATGCTGTGATATGCTGCTGAGGAACATGAAATCTTGACTAGAGTTGAAAGCAATCAGATTAGTCACCATCCTTCTAATGGTTATCTTTATTCTTATTCCTATGAATTTGACAATAATATCAAGAGATTGAAAGGAAAACCTTTGAAAACAATTTTAAACTTTATTTCACAGCAAATTTCTCATTCCACTGTTTCAAGCTAGTTCCCAAGATGTCCCTTTGAGAAAATCTTTACACAACTCCTTTGCAACACCAGAGCTCTGCCACATGTCTCATTAACCAGTGAGGGAAGAAGGACTAAAATACTTTTTTATATAGTTTTGTGGTTTTGTTTCTAATGTTCTCCCCATTGTATAGAGAATAATATTCCTTCCTGTTCATTACAAGTAAATCCCAAAATACCAAGGTTTTGTTTCTGGAACTAGGTTCTGGGATTTTGTGGGGTTCTTTTTGGGGATGTTGGGTGTTTGGTAGGGGTTTTTTGGTTTGGTTTGGTTTGGTTTGGTTTTTCCATATGTTTTGTTCTTCTGTACTTGGGAAGTACTTAGCTTATTCTACTACCACATGGCAAAAGCCACTTGTTGATATATCTACTAAGTACAGTTGTATGCTGAGATGTTATCTTCTCTTTAAAACACTGCCTACTTAGTTACTGCTACAAATTACGTTTTTTATTCACTTTGGACCATTTTAAATGGTGCTCTCTTATGACTTTAAACTTGTTTAAAATCTGATATGCTCAAACCACTGCTTTTGGCTTTTGATCACTTTTTAAGCCCCTGCTGTAAACAGAATATTTTTTAATCAACTTCTGTAGATGTACAGTTTGCATGCATATCTATTTTATGGACCTGGATAGATAGCTTTTGCTACTCACCTCATTAAAAGATGTAAAGTTTCAAATCTCTATCTTTACAGAGACATACGCTAAAAATACTAATTAAAAAAAAGTGATAAGGAACTGTGTCTCAGATTTTCAGCAAAATATCCAACAGTGCTTTCTATCTTACTCAATTTCATTGTTAAGTTTAGTAGTGGAGACTATTTGTATAATTAGAACAAAAAAGGGTTTCACAAATGAAGTAAATGTTATTTACTATAACGTAAAATATATTGCACTGAAATAAATGATACCTTGTTAGGAAAAAAAAAGGTAAATAGACTGATGAAAGACCTTCACTTTGAATTTTGACCACTGTTCACTTTAAGGGCTTTAAAAACCTGTAAACAAAACAGTTCACATTCGGTAAAAAAATTTAACTGTTAATTACTTCTCTTAATACTAATTTAACTCAAAATTATAGTTTTATTCTAGTTAAATTATTATGCATGCATGCATGCATATATGTTTATTTATATGTCAAAATTTTTTGACCCTACATGTGGAAGGGCTTTAGAAAGCTGCTAAGTTCCCTGT